AAGAAAAAAAGAAAGAAAATTAATAGTTACAACAACGAGAGAAGAGAGAGAGAGGAGAGGGCGAGAGAGGGAGGAGGAGAGGGAGAAGAGAGAGAGAGAGAGAGAGAGGAAGAGAGGAAGAGAGATGAGACGCGAGAGAGAGAGGAGAGAGAGAGAGAGAGAGGAGATGAAGAGAGAGAGAGAGGAGCAGAGACGAGAGAGAGATGGAGAGAGAGAAGATGAGAGAGAGAGAGAAGAGAGAGAGAGAGAGAGAGAGAGAGAGAGAGAGGAAGAAAACAAACAAACAAACAAAACATATATATATATATATATAAAGGAGGAAGAGAGAAGAAGGAGGAGGAGGAGGAGGAAAAGCCGGAAGAGGAGAGAAGGCAGAGGAGCAGGAGGCAGAGGAGGGGGGGAAGGGCAGAGGAGAAGGAGAGGAGGGGGGGGGAAAGGAGTAGCAGGAGGAGGTGGAGCAGAACAGGATTCCTCAAGGACTGCTTGTTTCGCTTGAGACATCCTTGAAAGAACGCCTGATTCGCTTGGGACATCCTCGAACGAATGTTTGAGGTCGTCTTGGAAGCTTTCTCGGAGATCCTCTTTGGGATTCTCTTGGATTCGTTGAAGATCCAAGCTCCAGGCTAGAGATCCTCCTCCTCCTCGTCCTCCTCGACCTCCCCCTTCTCCTCCTCCTTCCTCCTCCTCCTCCTCCCCCCGTCCTTCCTCCCCCCTCCTCCCTGCCCCCTCCTCCCTCCTCCCCCCCGGCCACCGCCTCGCTGCGAGCATCTGGTTCGCTTGAGACATCCTTGAAAAAAAACGCCTGATTCGCTTGAGACATCCCCGAACGAATACCTGGAGTCATCTTGGAAGCTTTCTCGGAGATCCTCTTGGGATTCGTTTGAAATCGTTGAAGATCCAAGCTCCAGGCTCGAGATCTTCCTCCTCCTCCTCCTCGACCTCCTCCTCCTCATCCTCTTCCTCCTCCTCCTCCTCCCCGCCCTCCCCCCTGCTCCCTGCTCCCTCCTCTTCATCACTCCTACCATCCCTCCCCCCTCTGCTCCTCCTCCCCCCCCCCTCCTTCCTCCCCCCCCCCCCCCTCCTCCTCATCCTCCTCCTCCTCCTCCCTCCCACCGCCCCGCTGCGAGCATCTGGTTCGCTTGCATGCCTTGGAGCGGCACGGCCTCCTTGTTCTCATGTGTTCTCCTCGCGGAAGCGCTTGTGGTTCTCGGAGATGCAGTAGATGCACTCGTAGGGCCCCCAGTTGCTCGGGCACTTGTAGTCCTTGGCGGGGTCGGCCTTGACCTTCTGGAGCCACTCCTGCTCGACCGCCCAGTGGATCTCGCTCTTGACCTTGCGGATCGCCGCCTTGAGCTGGCTGCGCTCGCGGGCGTCGGGTTCTTGGAGGAAGCTCGTCACGTCCGGGGCCATCGGCGCGTAGACGATGTTCTTGAGCCAAGCTCGGAGCGTCACGCTCTCGGCCCACTGGCTCGACAGGCAATCTGCGAAGACGAGGGCTTGGCCGTGTTCTTGCTCGATGAAGTCAATTGTCCAGCTTGCAATGAGCTCGTCCGCCCAGGCTCTCGGCCGGCCCCAGATGTCGATCTGCTCGAAGATCTCGGCGCGCTCCTCGGGGTCGAACTCGAGGAGGGCCCGGCGCCAACCCTTCATGATCGTGCCGATGTTCTCGCCTGCTCGGAAGACCTCGGCCGCGCCGTCGCCCCGCTCGTAGCGGACGTCTCGGAGCCAGGTGCCGTTCTCGAGGTTCATGTCGGAGATCTTGCAGTGCCTCGCGCACGGGACTAGGAGCGCGCTGCGTTTCTTGGCCGACCTCGGTTCCCGGCTCGGGTCGAACCGCCCCTCGACGCCCGAGACGCTGATGAGCGTGAGCCTGTGCTTGTCGCCCGCGCTCGAGTACGCTTGGTATACTTGCTGCTTCTTGTCGCCATGCTCCTCGTAGAACTTCTCTCGCTCGGCCCCCCAAGCTGCCTCGTCTGCCTCGGCCTGAGTCTCGCGGAACTTGCGGCGGAGCTTCTGGATCCGAGCTTTGTGGCTTGCGCTCTGGAGCTCGGACTCGTGGAGGTAGACCTTTCTCCTCGCATCGGAGCTTGAGCCAGAGCGCGGTGGCGTCGACGACGACCGCGCTCGCGTCTCGCCTGCGCACGGCGAAGGCCTCGGCGTCTGCGACGAAGAGGCTGAGCCCCTCGGCGCTGTCCCTCGCCACGAGGTGCTGGAACCTGTCGGCGGTGGCCCAGGTTAGTTTGGCCTTGCTCTGGTAGAGGGTATTGTTCTTGGTTTCCGAGAGGCCCTGGCCCTTGTACCCTGACGCGCGCAGCCTCGGGAGCACGACCTCGTCGATCCACTTCTGGCCCTTGCGGGCCATGTTGTTGATCTTGAAGGTCGCGAGCCGCTGGGTGAGTCTCTTGAGAATCTCGGGTCTGTACCAGGGGTGGCTCGTGTTCATGAGATGGAGCTGCTTGTCCTTCTCCCACTCGAGCTCGTACTTGAGCCTGGTCAACACCGTCTTGTGGCGAACCTCCTGGCCGCACATGCGCTCCCGCTTGAACCGGGTCTCGAGTCGGCCCATGACTCCCTCGAGGGCGCGCTTGGGGCACGCCAGGCCAGGAGTGAAGTTCTGCAACCTCGCGCCCCGGCTCTTGTCCGGCCTTGCCTGACGCGGCCGGCATCGGCCGCAGGCTCGGATGCCGTTCTTGCCGAGCCTCGCCGTGGCGACCAGCTTCTCGCGAGACGCTCTCTTCTTGTGCCAGTTCTTGACTGCCTCGTAGGGCCAGCGCCACTTCTCGGCGAGCTGAGCCTTGACGCCGACTGGGAGCTGGGAAAAGTCCGCGAGCTCGTGCTTGTCGGCCTGCTTGCGCCAGTCGAGCACGATCTGGAGCTTGCACTGCGCGGGCGGGTCTCGGCGCAGGGTGGGAGCTGCTCGGGGCTTGTGCGCCCCGTGGCAGTTGCGACTCGAGCCTTCGGGTCTGCCGCCCTTCTTCGGCCCCCGAGCGACGCCTCGGCCGATGTCGTCGGGGTTGAGCACCTTCCCCTCGGTGCTCGCCTTCGCTCGGCGCTCAGCAGCGGCTGCGAGGCGCTCGTGCTCCGACTTCTCCGCCTCGAGCCTCTTCGCCTCGAGCTCCTTGAAGAACATCGTCTTTGCCTCGGGAGACAGGTCAGGCGAGCTCCTGAGCTTCTTGTGGGAGCTCGGGGATTCCACCGGACTCGAGCTTAGCCCCCATAAGCTTGACAGGCTCGACTGCCGCTTGATCGGCGTGCCCATGTCGACTGGCGCTTGACTGGCGCGCTCGAGAGGCGAAACTTCTGCGCGAGTGGCGTGCTCGAAAGGCTCGGGGCCAGAAAGGCTACGGATGTTGTCCTTGCGGAGCTGCTGCTGCTGCTTGAGACCTCGAATACGTGCCTGTATCGTTTGAGAACTGTTGCTGTTGTTCGCTTGAGACGCCCTCGAATAAGAAAAGGAAGGGCAGGCCCAGGGTAGGCCCAGGGTAGGCCTAGGGTAGGCCGTAGGGGTAGGCCTGGGGTGGGCCTAGGGGTAGGCTCTAAGGGTAGGCCCAGGGTAGGCCTAGGGATGGGCCTAGGCGTGTAGGCCTAGGCCCATCCCTAGGCCTACACGCCTAGGCCTACCCATTCCTTTTCTTGTCTCGCCATCCCTAGGCCTACACGCCTAGGCCTAGGTACATCCTCGAGCAATTTCTTGTTTCGCCTGAGACATCCTCGAACGAATCTCTCGTTTCGCTTGAGACATCCTCGGCAAATCTCTCATTTCGCTGGAGACATCCTCGAGCAATTGCTTGTTTCGCTTGACGCATCCTCAAAAAATTGTCGTTTCGCTTGAGACATCTTCGACAAATCTCTCGCTTTGCTTGAGACACCCTCGAGTATGTGCTTGTTTCGCTTGAGACATCCTCGAGGGTTCTCTTGGGGTTCTCTTGAATTCATCGAGTGGGAGCCTCGATACTAGGCCACTCGACATTTTTCTTCGCGTCCAGCCTCGGCTAGCTCGCAAGAGAAGCGCCTCGGCCATCTAGAGTGCCTCACTCGACTCAACCCTGGCCTCTCTCGACTGAAGCTCGTCGTCCTGGAACTGCGTGGGCTCGCCTGGCTGGAGCTGCTCGGCTGTCTTGCCGCGCACGAGAGAGGCCCTCCACTTGTTCTCTTGGGTGGGGTCGAGCTCGGTCTCGACCTCCGTCTCGGTCTCTGCCCCCTGCTGCTTGACGTCGGTCTTGACCGCAGTCTCGATCTTGAGCTTCGTCTCGATCTTCACAGTTGTCGGCTTGGACTTCCTCGAGTTCTGCTTTGTTTTTTTCCACTACAGAAGGCTTGGGCTCCCTCGGCGCCTGCGCTGGCTTCTTGGAGACAGTCGTCCGCTTGGCCATGTCGCCTGCAGCGCGCCCGCTCCAGGTGCGTTCCTCGCTCGTGCTCGAAATCCTTGAGCCAGAGTGAACCACGGGAAGAGACACCCTCGAAAGCACTCTCGCTTCGCTTGAGACATCCTCGACAAACACACTTCTTTCTCTTGACACATCTTCGAAATTATGCGTTACTTCGCTTGGGATCCTCGGCACATAGCTTGTTTCGCTTGAGACGTCCCCGACCTACTTGTTTGTTTCGCCCGAGATTCCTCAGGCTATTGATGCATTTGCTTGAGACATCCTTGAAATAAGTTGATGCTTCGCTTGAGACATCCTCAAACAATTGCTTGTATCGTTCGAAACATCCTCGCATGCGTGCTCGTTTCGCTTGACATATCCTCGAACAAATGCTCATTCCGCTTGAGACATCCTCTGCAATTCTGTCGCTTCGTTTGAAATGTCCTCGAGCCATTTTCGACGCGCGATAGGGACATCTTCCTTGTTTTCTCGAAGCACTCTGAGCGCGCGCATCTAACTCGAGCGCCCCTCGGGCATCCACTGGCTGCGCGTGCGCTCGTAGGGCGCCCTGGCTTGCGCCTCGGCGTCTGAGGCTAGCTCGGTCGCCCCAGTGTCGGGGCTCGAGAACACTAC